CTGTACACATATAGTGACTCAGAGGATGAGCAGCCCACAAAAAAATGGTTTCCCCAGGCCCCTCGAGTGAAAATACCAGGTAATAAAATACTGTCTAGTGTCTTTGTACATATCTGTTTGTGACACAAGGAAACTTTTGACAAGTTGTCTGTATTCTTAAATACTTAAAAAAAATTATCTTTTTCTGTCAGACCTGACGAGAGCTGTTAACGAACTCCGTGAGGAGGTCAGAGCCATCCGCAATACCGGCTGCAATGAATCGGTAGATGCTGGGGTACTACCTCTGGATTTGCCCTTGCACAACGTTGAGGAGCTAAACAATGCAGAGCCAGCTCTTCAATCACAAGAGGAAAATAAGGCAATGGTAAGTATATAAAGGTTATGTACACTTTGTAACTATAAAGTGTAATAGCTGTCAGATGTGATTTAAATACATAACAACGGCCTGTTGATTAAACACACAAGCACTTGCATACACATTTAAGATATGAGACACGCTAATTCCATCTCTTAAAATGTGTCTATAGGTGAGACGCTTTGCCTTGATTGGAGGGACCACACTGGAGGTGCGAGTCCGCCGTGTAATGGCTTATGCCATTACAAACGAGCTGGCCTCGGTACTCAACTGGGCAGGGAAAAAACCCAAGGACCAGACAAAGCAAAAAATGGCATTTAAAGATACAGCTCTCTGCAAATGCATATTTGGTAAGTTTTACCGTTTTTTTTGCTTTATTACTTTGTCTTTCTTAATAACAAGACTTTCATGTCCAGTTAATTTGGAGATGGAGTCTTTGGTCTTTGGCTTGTTTAGTCCTCGGGTTGTAGTTTGTACAGCCCGAGGACCCCATGTTTATTTTGTTTTAAAGGATACACGGCACACCATGCTAAGACTTATCACTTTTTCCGCTCATAGCTCTTTGGGAATCAAATGCGGCAGTTTGCAGATTTATGCCTGGTGACTTTCATGTTTATCAGCCTAGGAGTTTACATACTTTCTCCGCGCTGAAGACAGTTAACAAGAGCTTATTCATGTGCTCTAATTTACTTTTTTTGTTTGTGTGTGTGTGTGTGTGTGTGTGTGTGTGTGTGTGTGTGTGTGTGTGTGTGTGTGTGTGTGTGTGTGTGTATGTTTGTCCTAGATGGCCTGCAGCAGTTAGGGGCAAACTCTATGTCCGAGTTTGTCTTTGCACAAGCAGTGCAGAAATGGCTCCGATACACCCCAGATCGTTTGGGTGGTGCAGGACGCACATCATGCATCCCCATCCCGGAGTAAAAATTACAAACTTATGTGAAACATATAAATGTAAATAGGAAACTGTCTTGTAATAAAGTATTTAGCAAACGAAACATGCCTATTGACCTTTTTTTGTTTATTTTTTTTCACTGTTACATCACATGCAATGCTTTCTTATTTTAGGATATTAATATTGACATGATACATTGTGAGACATTTGTTGTTGTTTTTTTTATAAAGGGTGTCCAATTTGAGGAATAAGTACAATTATGTGTTTAGGTGGTTGAAGTATTGATGGAAACATGCATTAGTTTAGTATTGGTTAAAATACCTATAAAGAAAGGTCGATTTCCAGTCATGATTTAACTGTTTTAATAAAAACCAACTGTGCGAAAGAGGTGGAAAATCAACACCATAGCTCAACAGTGTTTCAATATCAGAATCTGACATTGTTTCAATGTCAGTAGTATTAGAAAATATAACGTTGAATCAATGTCAGGTTTCAACATTGATTCAACATCAAAACCTGATGTTGTTTCAACGTTAAAAAAGGGTGCAAGAGTGACGTTAGGTCAACGTCACACTTCAACGTTGATTCAATGACATCGCCTGATATTGACTCAACATTGTTTCAATGTTTCCTTGCTATCTGGGCAGCCTGGTTCTATGTGCCCCTTTTTAACTTCGAGCATACGCCCCTTCAAACCTCTATGCACAGCCCTGGCAGACAGCTTAGGGCTGTGCATGTAAGCTTTAAATGAGGACTGCTCATTTAAAGCTTACATGTAAGTATGTTTTTTCATATTGTGAAACAAGCTGCTAAACAACCAGAGGTAGACAAAATGTGTTATTTAAAGGTTAAAGAGGCTAGTTTGCTATACTGTCAGCAGATCACAGCCTCTACACTAAGAAAATCTAGTGGACTGCTCAGTATTATTGTGATTCTTTTCCCACACTGAGCCACTACAGCTGATTTCAGGTTTCCCCATGTGCTAAATCCACTGTAGCCTCCTCCATACTCATTTTCCTGTTTAGAAGCAAAATCACCCTCTACAATGTAGACAACAAAAAACAGAGCTATTTTTGATTTTCCTTCTCTTTCTCTGCTCACATTCTATTTAAATTAGTGCAGTTATAATTAAAAATGAGACTAAACTGAAATTTGTATTCCCATCTACTGATATTATTTTATCATTATATCCATAGGTTCAGTTAGCTTTGCAACTGAAGCTTTGAAAATAGAACCATTGTTGAAGGAGCTACTTTCTACTGTCTTACTTTGAGTGCATTTCAGAGCCTCTACTTTTTTTCTTGATTAAAGAAGTGGAATCACTACTTCAACTTTTACTGGAATACTTTTTAACACAGGTATCTGTACTTTTACTTAAGTAAAGAATGTCTGTACTTTTGCCACCTCTGTTGGCCACAGAAGGCAGTAGTTGACTTGACTTCATTTGGGTGCACACAAAGTTAACTGCAGCTTTAATTGTGAAGTGACGAAGGCAACACGATTCTCCAGATTGTTGGCTCTTGCAGTCTTGTGAACAGCATCAGTGTGGTGACCTTGTGGACTGGGATACCACCAGGTAAACTCCAGAAAGTTCTTAATATGTTATTGGTCAAGAGCAGAGAGTCAGAGTCTGAAAGAGTAAATAAATGTGTGTATATTCATGTAAAAACTGAACTTTAAATTGAAAAAAAGTTTAAGAAAGTTTAAAGAATGACATATGTATATATATGAACTAAGCATGAATAAATTTAAACTGCAATAATACAGTGTGGGTGCTTAAGATGTTCTAAAAAGTCTTTTTCTTTTCTTTTTGTAAATGCTGTATAGCAAGTCTGACTTGTGGTTCTCCCCTCCCTATTTAATCAGAATCAGAATCAGAATCAGAATACTTTATTCATCCCGAGGGAAATTAGGGGTTACAGCAGGCAGCACGCTAATGGCGCATGCGCACTCACAAAGGAACCTTCTGACCAACTATACACAAACATCACATTGGGCAGACATGTCAGAAGGTAGGCTGATAGGAAAAAACAACGAAAATACATTACACGAGGTAAGAGGAGGAGAAAAAAAAACTCCACTCAGACTGAGCTCCTAGTGGGAGAACAGTTTGATAAAAGAAAAAACACCTCAGCACAAAAGCACATGATTATCAATACACCATAGAAACACGAGACAAGCAACAGGGGCGGGTAAAGGGTAAGAGAGAGCCGGCATAATAAATATGCAGGTCATACCATCTGAGAAATCAGTCCCTCCTCTCTGTATGTCCTATAAAAGCTAAAGGTGTGCAAAGTTTGTTCCTTACAGAGACTTCAGAGGCAGAAGCAGAACAACCTGAGAGACTAACTCCTGTGTGCAGTGAGTACTGTGGTTAAATTTTTTATTTTCTTTTTGACTGTAGTTATCTTTTAAATAAATTCTTAAATTTATATCAGTATTTATGTCAAGTCAGTATTTTTTTCTTGTAACAGACAACAGTTGAAACATTTAATTTTCTTACTACCTTTAGTTTCATCATGTTTGTTCCACTGAACTATTTCAGCTTTTTCAAATAATCTCACTTTGTCACATTTTCAGATTGAACCAGCACGTAACAGACAGGTGAACACTAAAAACAAAAGTGAAAGTAAGTGAAAACACAGAGCTGCTGTCATGGCTGGCAAATGTGAAAGTTGCAGTTTACCGACTTAGACCACTGAGCCTTCTGTGAATGGTACTCATGACCATTGATGAAAGGCATGGGTTGTTGATCAATGGTCATGACAGTTTGCATATTAATGATTAAGAAACTGACCTCAAATGTATGCAAATCTACTGTTTATGAGATTGGGGAAACCTGCAGTCAGCTAAGACTGAAGAAGTTATAGGATGATGACAAAATGTTTCTCAAAATGTTTATTGAAGTGATGCCCCTTTGGACAAGTTAACTGATACAGTTGGTCCTCTTGCTTGTCATCATTCCCACACTGTAAGAAATCTCAGAGTGCTTTTGGATAGATCTTTTAAATTAGAGAAGCAAGTGTCCACAGTTGTGAAAACCAGTTTTTATCAGTTATGTGAAATTGCCAACGCAAAGCCTTATCTTCCTCCTAAAGACCTAGAAAAACATTTATGACATTCACCACAGCCACCCTGAGGCGCACTGACAGAGGCGAGGCTGCCGGACACTGGCGCCACCGGGCCCTCTGACCACCACCAGTAGGCCAAGGACACAACGACCGAGACTGTCCCAGCCAGGGCTCAAATCGGCAACCTTCCGATTACAAGGTGAACTCCCAACTCTCGAGCCACAATTGCAGTTAGTCCAAAATGCCGCTGCACGCCTTTTAACAGGTGTTAGAAAGTATGAACTCATCACTCCAGTTTTAGCAAATCTACACTGGCTCCCTGTCCATTATCATATTGTTTTTAAAATTCTTTTACTTACTGTCAAAGTTTTAAATGGTATGGTGAGCAGTTATTTAAGCAAATATCTAAACATATACTGTATAACCCCAAAAGAGCACTGAGATTGTATAGTCAGATGTTCTTAGTACAGCTGAGGTCTCGATTAAAGCATAGAGGAGATCGGGCCTTCGCAGTTGCAGCAGTCAAACAGCAGTCAAAACATGAGAAACTCTTAAATGTATTCAATCACGTTCACTTGGTGTTTTCAGTTTTCTGGGCTTTATCTCTTTAGTGCACCAACAAATCAAGAGTTAAACTGATTATAAAGCTTCAAATAAGCTGTTCTGCTTGTAAAGGTGTTTTTTCTCTGGTTTTCCCTCCTGGTTAAAGCTGCAGCATAAAGCTCAGACCATTTCTGAGAAATCACAGTGCTTCCTGACCTTCCCAAAGGAACAATAGCTGGGTGGAGTGTGTTCCTGTCAGGGACTTCATTCTGCTGTGAGTATGTGGTTTGACTTGATTTGTTTGTTTTAGATCTTCTGGATTCGTCATTAAAAATGACAGTTCAATGAAGCCAGTTTTTCTTTTCTTTTTGTTGTGAAGTTAGAGGCATTTATTTTCAGGTTAATTCATATTAAAAAAAAATTCATATTTTACAAATTACATTTGTATCACAAAACTATGTCAGCTAAATGAACTCTGAGCTGTTGGCTTATAAAAGAAATGTCCATCAGCTGTAGAGATGCTGTTGCTTAAACTGCCCATTGCCATTCATACAGTTTCAAATACTCTCACTCTCACTCTAGGGGGAACCTACCGAAGGGATTAATAAATATCTATCTCATCTATCTAGCTCACCTATTTATTGATCCCATCTATCTATCTGATCCATGTTTGCAAGCCAAATATCCTTCGGCAAGATAATAGCCTCAAGTCCTTTCTGATGCATCTATTGGAGTATGAATGATTATAGTTACTCTGCTATGGGCTGAACCTGCTGGATGATTCCCATGATGCTTTGAGTGTTTCTTCTTCAGTCACCTTTTTATGTGTTTATACACCAGGTGGTCTGAATGTTGGGTTTTCTTTGTATTATTCTGGTCTTTATTGTACAATATGAACCTCTTCGAAGTAACTGTTGTTGTGATTTGGTTGTTGTGATATATAAAACAGATAGAATTTAATTCAGTTTTTAGATTACCAGCATTCTGGAAATGATCTACCGCCAATGTCCCAAACTACTACCAAACAAAATTCTGCGTGTCTCAAAACAATATCTGACAGTTACTCCGTGACTTTAGTTTAGACCCATGTAAAATGAAGCTTTGCAGTAGCTGTGGATCAATGAAGAGCTTTGAATGCCTGAACCTGTAGCTGTATGCTTTCCAATGGCTCCACAGCTGTGCAGGATCACCATCTACTGATGTAACAAGGTTTTACCTTAGTATGTATATATTAGGGGTGCAACGATACACAAAATTCACGGTTCGGTTCGATACTTTGGTGTCACGGTTCGATATTTTTTCGATACAAAACAAAATGTTCATGCCTTTTTAATTTGTCATTTATTAAAATTATAAATATATATTTTAACTCAAAAGTACAGTTTTTAAATTTAACCCTAACCCTTGTGCGTGTTTTTTATTTTGACAGCGAATGCGCACCTGCAGACCACTTATGTGCAGCCCTGGTTATTTAGCTCGTCATATCGCAGCCACAGAAATTCTTTTGTCCATGAAACCATAAAGCTGCACTTTCTTTTTGCCTTATAGTCTGATTTGTCATAACTTTTCCGTTTTGTGGTAAGCTTTTCTTTGGCTGTCACTTCTTCACCCTGACCTGTCTTATTTGGCTCAGCAGAACTGAAATGCTTTTACACACTCACTCACATAAGCTCAGCGATTCTCTGCCCGATCAACCTCTCACATGTTTAAGCTGCGGGAGATTTCACTTGTCATGTTTGCGTAGTAAGCTAACGATTGATAAGACGATGGCAGAGGAATTGGTGCACAAATTATCATCACTCACAGATCAGTGCTGTCGCTCTCTATACACAGTTCGCACGATTGCAAAGTGAAAGCAAAAAAACAAGCGCAAATTCAAACGCGACTTCAATATGTCACATATTGACAGTGGCTCACCGATGCCAATGACATAATTACCCAGCTACATTTCTGAAAGAATGCAAAAGCATTGACATATATTTTTCCTTCCTACAATAGCCCGACGGGCAGGGAAGAGATAGATTTTGGTAGCCCGACTGAAATAATTTTGTGAGCCCTGTATCTGATTGAGGAATCACTCATCTTTGGAAAAGAGAGTTTATTCCAGAGAAATGTCTCTTTCCAAAATAAAAGCTATACTATCCGCTTCTTCTGGGCTATATTCTCGGCAGCATATTAAACATATCAGGTCCCCATAAGGAGAATCATGTGCTAACGGCTGTCTAAATGACTCGGCTAAAGTTAGTAGCATGCTTGTTGTTTTTGTCTTTGCACTAGGATGATGTCGGCGTAAATGTGCAGTCATATTCGTTGTGTTCCCACTAGTGCTTTCAGGTTAACCTTGTTAAAATTACCTTAACGCCACAACACGGCAAATCTCCGTTAACGAGCTATCCCTGATAGCCCCGTGCATGGGGCTAGACGGCCAACACGTTAACGAGCTAACTGCGCTAACACACTAGCTCCCACCCATGTAATTGAGCATTGCGTGGCACATCCAACATACTGTTTTACTTTAGTCCATGAGCGCTTACCTTCAGGGTCATACGTCACATGAAAACCAAAATAATTCCAAACGCCAGATCTGAATGAGGGTGGGGGAGGTCCATGTTGCAAGCAGAGCTTAACTTCTGTCTCGCTAGCTTGCCCTGCGCTCTTCCTTCTGACGATGCTGTCTGTGTTGAGCGCTCAGTGGATCTGCGCTCGACAGTGCAGCCTAGGCGGAGTAGTCGAACGCAGATTCACTGAGCGCTCAACACAGACAGCATCGTCAGAAGGAAAATTGATAAAATAAATTACAAATGTTGTATTGTTCGATACATATGCGTACCGAACCGAAAGCACTGTATCGAACGGTTCGATATCGATACGAATATCGTTGCACCCCTAGTAAATATATAAGAGGTATTATTGACAGTTATACACAAAAACAGTTTATTTTCTTAAAACTGAACATGCAGCATTTAACAACCTACTACACTGTCACTGTCTCACCCAGGAGGTACCAGGTTAAATTATTCCTGATGTTGTCAGTTATATTAATGAGTATAAAAACAAACAGCTGAACAGAACCAGAAAAACAATCTCAAACCTTTTGTTTTTCCAGGTTAGACTGAAGGATGGACGGTAGATCAGGTAGTACAATGGAGGTGGCAGCGCTCGGTCGGCCTTTCAGTGTCGGGATGCTGTACGACTGTCGCAGTGACTCGCTAATCCCTGGTAAGAATTCACATAAAAATTCAAAAGAATTCACATGTAAAGATTCTTGATGTGTCACAAACTTTCATTATTTCATTATTTAAAGCCAAAAATCTGAGATGGTCCAAGGTCTGAAAACACAAGAGTCAACTAAATTCAGACAGATATTCAAGCAGCTTAGTTCAGAGAGTTTGAACTCATTACTCTGCTGCAGCATCAATCCTTCCTCATGAAACTCCAAACACAGGATCAGATCCACTAATCTGTCTTTACTGGACCTGGGCCCAACTGTCATTGTTTAGACAGGATGAACTTTACATCTAAGCTTAGTTTTAGCCACAGACAGTATAAGAGAATCAAATCTAGAATTTTCACTCACCAACAATGAAGCAACTTCTTGGACTGTTTGAACATCACAAGCAAATACATCAGGGGTGGGCAAATCCAGTCCTCCAGGGCCGGTGTCCTGCAGGTTTTAGTTGAGTCCTTGATCCAACACAGCTGATTCAAATGGGTAAATTATAGGGCTGTGTTTTGATAATCGATTCATCGATTAAAATCGATTCTAGCTTGGATAACGTGATATTGATTCATTAAAATCCTGAATCGATTTTTTAATATAAATTTATTTTGTCCAAAACACCAGAATCTCAGGTTAAACCTCACAAAATTTCAACAACCACCAAACAGCTAAAACAGTAAATGAGAGCACGGATTCTGCACAAAGACTTAAACACAAAGCGCGGACCAGCCAACACATCAGAATCAATGAGATGTGGCCTTTCTCACCCGACGACACGGACACAGTCGGGGCTGAAAGCCGACAGCTCGCTGATTACGATGTTTCAGCCGTATAAAAATCACACTTCCTGCACAGCTCTCTCTCTCTCTCTCTCTCTGTACTACAAGAACAGTTTCCTGTCTAAAATCTGTTTTCTTCATTATTTTCTTGCTTGTTACGCACAAGTCTAAGATAAGATAACTCTTTATTGTCATTGCACAGTCATCCATACAGTGGGGCAAAAAAGTATTTAGTCAGCCACCGATTGTGCAAGTTCCCCCACTTAAAATGATGACAGAGGTCAGTAATTTGCACCAG